AATATGAACCCGACATTAGTTGCTGTGGTTGTTCTCATATTATATGTCTATTGACAGGAGTATTTACGTTATGAAGTAGGTATGTGAACACGTTGAACTCCTAAAGTTATGTTTCTTAGACACTAGACTCGATATCATAAAATTCTTTTAGACGACCACAGATCATTTCATTGACGCTTTAATTATGCTATCTACTTGGCAGATAGAAGTTAATTGTGGTTTATAACTTATTGCGATACTAAATAACGCTGCAGCTATATACACTTACTAGTTGTAACAACTAAGCTTACAAAGTCCTCAAGGACTGGATTATTCGTCAACTAAGCTTTATACAGAAGATGACTAGCTGCTTTTGTTAGCCTCGAATTCTTTGAAAGTCATCTGCTAACTCTCAGAAGATATGAATACTGTTAGTTGTTGTGATATGGTCAAAATTATACTACGCCTGTTGAAGACTACATTGATCTCAGATTTATACCACCAACAGGTCTTTGATCTGATCTTTCAGTTTTAATTACTCTGATAGAGATATAAGTACGGGTGTAACGCATGTGCTCCCGCCAACTCTACAGACGCAGCCGCTTCTCCACTCTATGCCTTTGTGCATTCTGTCCGTATCTTGATCTCATTATTGACTAACATACTATTGACTTGTTTGTAACGATTTTATAGCATGGTAATTAGTGGCAAATGGACTTATTTTTTCTGGTTATTTACTCTTCCTACACAGTTCTCGCTATACCACGAACCATGGTTGTATCATAAACTCAATGTAGATAAGTCACTATTCTCAATGTGACATTCTATAGCACAATCAATTCTTATATCATCGTTGAAATGACAATTTTCTGTTATGTACAATAATTAGTTATTTCAAGAGTGTTATGGACGAACGTTTCCGAAGATGATCGACAGAAACTCATTAATGTACAGAAAAAAATTACTTATGTGGCGTATAAAAGCAAAAACTACATATTCTACTGCTGAAGGTTTTGTCCTATTTGTTCTATTCGAATTGCAGAATTTTTCAACCTTAGTGAATCTCAAAACAACCACTTTGGCAACGACTACTAACAATTACGATATGACATACATTTAGTTGACTCTGACCAGAACAAGCAAAACTAGTTTCTGTTTCCTGTATTAATCATATTTATGTACACTAATATGTACTTCTAGTCAAATACAGGTCAAGATAAGTTTCGAGATTGGAAGATGCAACTGGTGTAAAAGTATTGATATTTAAGAGAAAAGCTTCACAAATAATAGCTCAAGAACAACAATATTGCAATAAGACAAAATGCAAACAACAAAGTCTATATGAATGCCAAAAAAAATAATATTTTTTTTTAATTTTCTATACTAATTAATTGTACCATTGTATGAATCAGATGTTATTCAGCCATATTTTTAAATGATTCCAAGCATAATTCAGATTATGTGGTTTCCATAATTCGAGACTATAACAAGGCAGAATCGGTTGGGAATATTTGAAACTTGAATGGTGGGGAAAGTCTTGATTGTAACCCAAAAGTATTAACAACAAACTTACAGGATTCTTTCCCCCTCTAAGGTAAGTTATAATACAATATTATGTCAAAACTGGCTGTACTGTCCATATTTGACGAGAGAAGTCAGTTTCAGAACAACCTTACTGACTGCTGCAATCTGCTCGATGGAGGCTGTCGTTATGCCATTCTGAGGGAGCTGCCAGGTTTCAGTCGAACGATCTTGCAAATAGAGCATCTTTCCGTGAAAAGGTGCCTATTGGTTTTGTATAAACTTCTTTGCTTTCATTCATTGGAACCGTCTCTGTCACCAGTTATATTGTATTGTGTACATACCAAACAGTTGAATACCACCCGATAAGTTTCTTGAGTCTACAATGGAATGCCAAGTCCAAAAGGTTTGAACGTTTCCATTTGTTATATTGGGAGTTTTTTGACCTCCTGTATGAGTCCATACTTTCAATATGCTAATAGAACTTGCATTTCAGGTTAATGGTTTGTTGTGAAGTTGTTGTTTAAATTCATAGCAATCCTATGCAAGTTGTATGACGCTATATCTCAACTGTAGAATATTCTTCCCTCTTGGAATAATATTTGCCGCCATCTATGTATATGTATTAAATACCAGGGTTGTAGAAAAAGAATTAGTCATTTATAGTTCCGTCTGAAACAGTAAAAAACATAGTATCTGCATGTTTTCATTGCAGTTGTTAAAAGCAATATTCTGTCTTGCACCTGGGTAGCACTTTGGTTTCCAAACTTCCCCTGCAATCCTTGACATGATATTTGGTGTATCGGGAACATAAGTGGAACTGCAATAATATTTTGGGCTAAAGCATTTGAAATATCTGTGGTCCCAACAATATAGACTGAAGTCTGGCTTTCTATTCTTTTGCATTCAAATTTTTCGCATGTGACTTAATGGGTCCAAAGCAGTTCGCAGCATTGAATAATAGTTTAACTGTCAATTGTTGAGTTTGAGAACCAGTCTAAGTCAACTTTGGTCTTTGCAATTCGGCGACCATCTTAATGAGTAGTCAAAACGATAGCCTTCATGCTTTACGGTATCTGTCTCAAACTTTTGACCGACATTAGTAAAAAGTTCATCTAATGGTTTAGTTGTAGCAACTCTAGAATTTTCTTTTTCTATTGGAAGCATATTTTATCTATAATAAAAATGTCAAATGAAACAGCGTCTATGAGAGAAATACAACACAACCGACAACTCATTATGCAAGCTCTAAATAAGAACACAACAAACTTTTCAAACTATTCTAAGATATCTGAGTCATTGAAAGGGGGTGACTTAAAACTGACAATAAACCCAATGACAGATGAGTTTCTATTTCAAGACAATAAGAACAATACTGTCTGTATAAATCCAACAAAAGGAACTTTAAACGAGAAACCTATAAATGAACTTCTTTTGAAAGCAGATGTTGACAACAAAGCTGACAAAGAATATGTAGACGATGCAATAGCAAAAAGAAGAAGAAAGAGCTAACAATGCTTATGCAACAAAAGAACATACTCATCCTGAACTAGCAGACAAAACATATGTTGACAATAAAATGTCAAGTGAAGTGACAAGAGCTGAAAACGAATATTCTAAAAAGACTCATATACATTATATTAACCAAATACCAAGTCTTAAGGAAACATTAGAGACAAAAGCAGATAAGACTCATACACATTCTATATCTGATATTACAAACTTACAAGAAACCTTAAACAGGAAAAGTGACGTTGGACATACACATTCTATATCTGATATTACAAACTTACAAGAAACCTTAAACAGGAAAAGTGACGTTGGACATACACATTCTATATCTGATATTACAAACTTACAAGAAACCTTAAACAGGAAAAGTGACGTTGGACATACACATTCTATATCTGATATTACAAACTTACAAGAAACCTTAAACAGGAAAAGTGACGTTGGACATACACATACATCTTCTGAAATAACAGACTTAAACGTTAGCCTTGAAAAGAAAGCAGATAAAACATATGTCAATGAAATATACCACAGTTTGATAGGAACAAAAAATATTGAAACTATTGTTGGTGACTTTTCTGTCAATGAAGAAAATAAATATTTTAGATGGCAGTTGGTACAGTCCTTAAAAATGGTACACGGTATAAACTCATTCCGAAAAATAACAATGAAATGTATGTAAGCTATAAAAAGAATGATGGTACACAAGTTAAAGTTCCATTAGACAACAACTGCTACTTAAACTTATATGGAGACGAACAAAAGAAATATTTAAGAGTTTATGAAATGGCAGATATGACATTGCCTGACCCAGCTCCAGCACCACATTATTATGACTATGGAGATGACGACAGAACACCACATGTAGATGAACAAAAGCTAACATTATATTTAGATTATTATAGATATAAAAGATATAATGCAATAGAAAAAACGAGAATAGTATATTATTATACAGATGACAGAAATAAATATTATAGTCAAGATTTTACCTACCCTGAAAACATAAGATTATATTATAAAAAATATTCTGACACAAACCAGAAGAAACCTGAAATAGTTGCACTATATTTTAAGTTCAAAAGAGACAATCCTATAATATCTCATATGTTTGATTTAATGAACCCAGTAGGTTCTATTTATACATCTATGGATGCAAGAGGTCCTCAAGTAATGTTTGGTGTTGGTGCATGGGAACAAATAGTCGACAGGTTTTTGTATTGTGCAAACTCTTCAAAGGAAACAGGTGGAAGTAAAACGATTTCAGGTGAAAATTTACCTGCACACAGTCATTACATAGATTTAAGTACATCTCAAGCAGGTTGGCATAAGCATAGATATTGGGATTGGTCAGGAATGACAAAAGGTAAAGGATATGATGTTAAAGAGGACGTTAAGTTTGCTATAAATTGTTACTGGGATGACACGCAGGGAGAAGGAAACCATACACATTTCGTTTCAGGATATACGCAAACAACGGGACAAAGTAAAGAATACATGCCACAATAATTAAGGATATTTATGATTTGCGCTCGTTACTTAAACAATTACCCGGCAAAGTTTATGTCCATCTTTTAGAAGATAAGCTAAAAGATCTTGCAACTTGCGATTCAAAATCAATTCAATGGTCATGCTGGATCCCAGACCTTGTACCTGATTTATTAAGAGTTGCAATTGAAAACGAATGTATCCAGACCATCGAACTGGATGCCACGTTTTCGTTTCCTCCGTATATACTTATATTACCCCAGTGTGTTATTAATAACACAGGTTATCCACTGGGATATTACTTCGGGCTGAGCGAAAACTCAAATGCTTACAGAATCTTTTATGAAAGACTAGTTTCATCTGCTACAGATGTTGATATTCAAAATGTCCCGATTTTAAGCGATTTGCTCTCTTCTCTTGAAAGTTTTTGCAAAAGTAGCCATTTAATTCATTGGCTTTGCGCTTATCATTTTTTAAAAACAATTAAAGATAGTGTAATCATGAGGGGATTGATTCGAGAAGTAATATATGCAGAAGATGAAGCAACGTATAATGTTAGATACGAAACATACTCCGAAATTGTTAATCATTTAAATAAGAATGAATTGGTTGATCCTCTTGATATGGAAAAATGGATCAATCTTGGCAAAGAGGAATTCAAATCCAAAATCGCACGATTTAAGAGAGATGTCAAAATCATGCCTAGCAATCATGCGGAAGGTAATCACGGGAGCTTGAATACCAAAATGAAGGAGATTTCAAGCAAAAACAAACTTTTGAAGTTCCAAACAATGATTGAACATATAATGTCGAGATTTAATCAAATTGATGATCCAAAAAATGATAATGTAATGAAACTTTATAGAAAATTGAAAATTTCGGCAATTAAAAATAAAGTCGAACAGCATTGTAAATGCAACTGCAACATGGAAAATGTTTATAAACTATATGGTGTTCATATTCCATGTATTCATAACATCTTAGATGTAAAACCGGCCGATTTAGAAAAACCTAAAGCATTTCATATTGGAAAATTGGAATTCAATAGTTCGAAGAATATTCTAGTTTATGATGATGAAGACAATCCGATAGGAAAGGGTGATCGGAAAAATGAACAATGCAAAATTTCGGCTCGGAAAACATTTACAACCAAAGTTGAGAACGAAATTTACTTGTATGAAGAACAAGTAACTCCAGATATAGGAGTTAAAAGTCTTGTTCAACGCATTTTAAATCTTCCGTCAATTGACAAGGCAACAAGTTTCATGTTTAATCTTGGGATGAACATCGATTATGATACAATTCAGGCAATTCATTATATATCATCATTAAGAAAAACACATCCAGAAGTGATAGATTTGGCATTAAGTAATGCATATCTTCCGGAAGAATCAGATGAATATCAGCAAAACAAAGACATGATTTCAAAAATTATCGAAGAAGTTTTTGATAATAAAGACAAGGAAAGAGATCCGGATTTTGTTGTAAGAAGGAAGAGGAAAAATGGTTTGTGAAAAAAATATTTATATGAATAAAATGTGTATGATTATTGTTTATAAAAATAGTTAATAAATATGAGAAACTATTTAATTATTTGTTATATAAAGATTCGATATACAGAACAGAATGAAAAAGGATAAAAAAATTAATCAGAAAGATGTAAAAGTTTGGGAGATATAAAAAATATTATAGAGATAAAATATTTCCTGAGAGATAAAAAAGTCAATGAAAGATGCAACAGTGAGAGACTGATGCAACAGTGTTAATGAGATGGAATAATGTCTGAGAGATGCAAGAGTGTCTGAGAGATACAATAGTATCTAACAGAAGTAAAAGTAAGTGATAGATGCAACAGTGTCTATGAGATGCAACAGTGTCTATGAGATGCAACAGTGTCTGACAGATGCAACAGTGTCTGACAGATGCAACAGTGTGTATGAGATGCAACAGTGTCTGACAGATGCAACAGTGTCTGACAGATGCAACAGTGTGTATGAGATGCAACAGTGTCTGACAGATGCAAAAGTGTCTATGAGATGCAACAGTGTCTATGAGATGCAACAGTGTCTATGAGATGCAACAGTGTCTGACAGATGCAACAGTGTGTATGAGATGCAACAGTATCTGACAGATGCAACAGTGTCTATCAGATGCAACAGTGTCTATGAGATGCAACAGTGTCTATGAGATGCAACAGTGTCTGACAGATGCAACAGTGTCTGACAGATGCAACAGTGTCGGACAGATGCAACAGTGTCTATGAGATGCAACAGTGTCTATGAGATGCAACAGTGTCTATGAGATGCAACAGTGTCTATGAGATGCAACAGTGTCTATGAGATGCAACAGTGTCTATGAGATGCAACAGTGTCTATGAGATGCAACAGTGTCTATGAGATGCAACAGTGTCTATGAGATGCAACAGTGTTTATGAGATGCAACAGTGTCTGACAGATGCAACAGTGTCTGACAGATGCAACAGTGTCTATGAGATGCATCAGTGTCTGACAGATGCAACAGTGTCTATGAGATGCAACAGTGTCTGACAGATGCAACAGTGTCTGACAGATGCAACAGTGTCGGACAGATGCAACAGTGTCTATGAGATGCAACAGTGTCTATGAGATGCAACAGTGTCTATGAGATGCAACAGTGTCTATGAGATGCAACAGTGTCTATGAGATGCAACAGTGTCTGACAGATGCAACAGTGTCTATGAGATGCAACAGTGTTTATGAGATGCAACAGTGTCTATGAGATGCAACAGTGTCTGACAGATGCAACAGTGTCTGACAGATGCAACAGTGTGTATGAGATGCAACAGTGTCTGACAGATGCAACAGTGTCTATGAGATGCAACAGTGTCTATGAGATGCAACAGTGTCTGACAGATGCAACAGTGTCTATGAGATGCAACAGTGTCTATGAGATGCAACAGTGTCTATGAGATGCAACAGTGTCTATGAGATGCAACAGTGTCTATGAGATGCAACAGTGTCTATGAGATGCAACAGTGTCTATGAGATGCAACAGTGTCTGACAGATGCAACAGTGTCTATGAGATGCAACAGTGTGTATGAGATGCAACAGTGTCTGACAGATGCAACAGTGTCTATGAGATGCAACAGTGTCTGACAGATGCAACAGTGTGTATGAGATGCAACAGTGTCTATGAGATGCAACAGTGTCTATGAGATGCAACAGTGTCTGAGATGCAACAGTGTCTATGAGATGCAACAGTGTCTATGAGATGCAACAGTGTCTGACAGATGCAACAGTGTCTATGAGATGCAACAGTGTCTATGAGATGCAACAGTGTGTATGAGATGCAACAGTGTCTATGAGATGCAACAGTGTCTATGAGATGCAACAGTGTCTGACAGATGCAAAAGTGTTTATGAGATGCAACAGTGTCTATGAGATGCAACAGTGTCTATGAGATGCAACAGTGTCTATGAGATGCAACAGTGTCTATGAGATGCAACAGTGTCTATGAGATGCAACAGTGTGTATGAGATGCAACAGTGTCTGACAGATGCAAAAGTGTTTATGAGATGCAACAGTGTCTGACAGATGCAACAGTGTCTATGAGATGCAACAGTGTCTATGAGATGCAACAGTGTCTATGAGATGCAACAGTGTCTATGAGATGCAACAGTGTCTATGAGATGCAACAGTGTCTATGAGATGCAACAGTGTCTATGAGATGCAACAGTGTCTATGAGATGCAACAGTGTCTATGAGATGCAACAGTGTGTATGAGATGCAACAGTGTCTATGAGATGCAACAGTGTGTATGAGATGCAACAGTGTCTATGAGATGCAACAGTGTTTATGAGATGCAACAGTGTCTATGAGATGCAACAGTGTCTATGAGATGCAACAGTGTCTATGAGATGCAACAGTGTGTATGAGATGCAACAGTGTCTATGAGATGCAACAGTGTCTATGAGATGCAACAGTGTCTATGAGATGCAACAGTGTCTATGAGATGCAACAGTGTCTGACAGATGCAACAGTGTCTATGAGATGCAACAGTGTGTATGAGATGCAACAGTGTCTATGAGATGCAACAGTGTCTATGAGATGCAACAGTGTCTATGAGATGCAACAGTGTCTGACAGATGCAACAGTGTCTATGAGATGCAACAGTGTCTGACAGATGCAACAGTGTGTATGAGATGCAACAGTGTCTATGAGATGCAACAGTGTCTGAGAGATGCAACAGTGTCTGACAGATGCAACAGTGTGTATGAGATGCAACAGTGTCTATGAGATGCAACAGTGTCTGACAGATGCAACAGTGTCTATGAGATGCAACAGTGTCTATGAGATGCAACAGTGTGTATGAGATGCAACAGTGTCTATGAGATGCAACAGTGTCTATGAGATGCAACAGTGTCTATGAGATGCAACAGTGTCTATGAGATGCAACAGTGTCTATGAGATGCAACAGTGTCTATGAGATGCAACAGTGTCTATGAGATGCAACAGTGTCTATGAGATGCAACAGTATCTGAGAGATGCAACAGTGTCTGACAGATGCAACAGTGTCTATGAGATGCAACAGTGTCTATGAGATGCAACAGTGTCTGACAGATGCAACAGTGTCTATGAGATGCAACAGTGTCTATGAGATGCAACAGTGTCTGAGAGATGCAACAGTGTCTGAGATGCAACAGTGTCTATGAGATGCAACAGTGTCTGACAGATGCAACAGTGTGTATGAAATGCAACAGTGTCTATGAGATGCAACAGTGTCTGACAGATGCAAAAGTGTCTATGAGATGCAACAGTGTTATGAGATGCAACAGTGTCTATGAGATGCAACAGTGTCTGACAGATGCAACAGTGTCTATGAGATGCAACAGTGTCTATGAGATGCAACAGTGTCTGACAGATGCAACAGTGTCTATGAGATGCAACAGTGTCTATGAGATGCAACAGTGTGTATGAGATGCAACAGTGTCTATGAGATGCAACAGTGTCTATGAGATGCAACAGTGTCTATGAGATGCAACAGTGTCTATGAGATGCAACAGTGTCTATGAGATGCAACAGTGTCTATGAGATGCAACAGTGTCTATGAGATGCAACAGTGTCTGACAGATGCAACAGTGTCTATGAGATGCAACAGTGTCTATGAGATGCAACAGTGTCTGACAGATGCAACAGTGTCTGACAGATGCAACAGTGTCTATGAGATGCAACAGTGTCTGACAGATGCAACAGTGTCTATGAGATGCAACAGTGTCTATGAGATGCAACAGTGTCTATGAGATGCAACAGTGTCTGACAGATGCAACAGTGTCTATGAGATGCAACAGTGTCTGACAGATGCAACAGTGTCTATGAGATGCAACAGTGTCTATGAGATGCAACAGTGTCTATGAGATGCAACAGTGTGTATGAGATGCAACAGTGTCTATGAGATGCAACAGTGTCTATGAGATGCAACAGTGTCTATGAGATGCAACAGTGTCTGACAGATGCAACAGTGTCTATGAGATGCAACAGTGTCTATGAGATGCAACAGTGTCTGAGAGATGCAACAGTGTCTGACAGATGCAACAGTGTCTGACAGATGCAACAGTGTCTATGAGATGCAACAGTGTGTATGAGATGCAACAGTGTCTATGAGATGCAACAGTGTGTATGAGATGCAACAGTGTCTATGAGATGCAACAGTGTCTATGAGATGCAACAGTGTCTATGAGATGCAACAGTGTCTATGAGATGCAACAGTGTCTATGAGATGCAACAGTGTCTGACAGATGCAAAAGTGTTTATGAGATGCAACAGTGTCTATGAGATGCAACAGTGTCTATGAGATGCAACAGTGTCTATGAGATGCAACAGTGTGTATGAGATGCAACAGTGTCTATGAGATGCAACAGTGTCTGACAGATGCAACAGTGTCTATGAGATGCAACAGTGTGTATGAGATGCAACAGTGTCTATGAGATGCAACAGTGTCTATGAGATGCAACAGTGTCTGACAGATGCAACAGTGTCTATGAGATGCAACAGTGTCTATGAGATGCAACAGTGTCTATGAGATGCAACAGTGTCTGACAGATGCAACAGTGTGTATGAGATGCAACAGTGTCTATGAGATGCAACAGTGTGTATGAGATGCAACAGTGTCTGACAGATGCAAAAGTGTTTATGAGATGCAACAGTGTCTGACAGATGCAACAGTGTCTATGAGATGCAACAGTGTCTATGAGATGCAACAGTGTCTATGAGATGCAACAGTGTCTATGAGATGCAACAGTGTCTATGAGATGCAACAGTGTCTATGAGATGCAACAGTGTTTATGAGATGCAACAGTGTCTATGAGATGCAACAGTGTGTATGAGATGCAACAGTGTCTATGAGATGCAACAGTGTGTATGAGATGCAACAGTGTCTATGAGATGCAACAGTGTTTATGAGATGCAACAGTGTCTATGAGATGCAACAGTGTTTATGAGATGCAACAGTGTCTATGAGATGCAAAAGTGTCTATGA